CGGTCGTCCCCCCTTCCCCAGAATAGCGCCCCTTCCCTCCCTCCTGGCTTCCCTAGCTAGCCAAGCCCGTCTATTTTTAGCTCGTGCCCACCCCTTGGACCCTGGGAACATTCATGAGAGGGCGGGTCTTGGAGAGGTAGGGTGTGTATAGGAGGGGGTTCTTCACAGCGGAAGTTGTCTGTATCCTACTGCCGAGTATTTTGGAGCCTTTTGTGGCTGCTTTGTGGGTGGGAGGGTTGCTGGCCAGGGGTGCCACTGTGAGGTTTTCGAGGTTAGATGTTTGGCTCTGATGTCGCAGGCAGAGGGAGTGGTCACTAGTGCTGAGATGCGTACATCATCTGGCCCAGTGTGTCTGTGGGCTTGGGGTGGCCTGGCACCTTCCCCACCTTCCCCACCCATACCTTGGTGGGACTCACAAGGTGTGAAGGGAGTTGTGTCTGGTTGAGGGTTTGGTGCTGGACATAGGTGCCAGTGACAGGTGGAATTCTTCCAAAAGGGATTTTAAGCTGGGAAGTCGAAGCACATGGACATTGTGTGACACACTTTACAGTTCATCCACACTAATTGAAGCTATCCCCATTAGCCCACCCACCTAGGGGCCTTTGAGGTGGGTCTGATGCAGTCCTTGCCGCAGGAAACTTGCAGTTCAGCCCCTGGGACTGGAGGGGTCCATGAGTTCTTGGGAGAATCTGAGGCAGCTTCATGGGGTATGCGTCTTCTGAGATGGAAGAACTGAGGGTCTGGGGTAGTGGAAACAGCAGGTACTCACACTAGGCTGAGGAGTGACGGACGGAGTGATGAGTCAGATCCACCAAGGACCAGCTCTTTGCCTGGAAGGCTGTGTGAGATCTACCTTTACTCCCAGCTCTGCCCTGGGTGCTGTGTGTGAGTTGGGAGTAGGTGACAGTTGAAGGTTCTGGTCAGCTGTCTCTGAGAGACTCTGCAACTTGACAGGAGCCTCATTCAAGGTTTGGCTTTTGTGGGGCTCCAAGAGAGAGAAGATTTTGCTGTTTGAGGGTGAGGGTCCACACTCTCAGGGATGGGATGAGAGTTTGGTTGTGAAGCAGGCCACTGCCAGCTTAAAAAGTCATTGTGCTGGACAGCTTCAAGCATGAGTACCGATACAGTGGAAACAGATGTGCCTTTTCAGGGTCATGAAACTTGAGAAGTTAGAAATGTAATTTGAGGCAAAATGATTGTGGCCTGTTCTAGAGGTTGTCCCAGCGATGAGAGTTTAGGGCTCTTGTGGCTTCCACAAGGTTGGGCCTCACTGTGCTGTAGGACTAGTTGGGGCTGGGGAGTCATGGCTGGAAGCCAGACACAACTGTCTTTTTCCAGCTGGTCCCCTTTTGCTCCCAGGGGAAGGCTCCAAGATGTTCCCGAGGCTCTTCGACCTATTCCTGTGTAGAACTCTGAACGGGAGTGGGGTGTATGGGAATAGGTGAGGTCATCAAGGAAGACCTGGTGCCTGCTGACCCTGTTTCCTCCTCCATAGCCTTTATCCTCCTCTTTTACCTCGTCTTCTATGGCTTCCTCACCGCCATGTTCACCCTCACCATGTGGGTGATGCTGCAGACTGTCTCTGACCATACCCCCAAGTACCAGGACCGACTGGCCACGCCGGGTGAGTGATGCAGCTCCCCCCACCAGCCACTCTATCTTGTGCCCCCATGCCTCCAAGAGGAACTCACAGGACGAGAACTCACAGTTCTTCTCAGAGGTTTGGTTCTGATGATCCAGTCGCCATGTGCAAGGAAGTTCTTCTTGAAGTCTGTCTTCCCATTTCCCACAGCAGAGAGCTATGTGATCTGGGGAGGTGGCAGATGTTCACAGGAGATCTTCCTCCAGTGGAGATGATCTCAGATCTTCACCCTATCCCTCACCCTGGTTTGTTCATCGTCTTCCCTCTGTGTGGTCCCTCGTCTTATATATGCTTCTCACTCTTGCCTTTATTGGCTAGGCCTGATGATTCGCCCTAAGACTGAGAACCTTGATGTCATTGTCAACGTGAGTGATACTGAAAGCTGGGACCAGCATGTTCAGAAGCTCAACAAGTTCTTGGAGCGTGAGTGTGGTACTGATGATATGGCTGTGCAGGACCTCCGGAAGGGAACTGGGGACCCTGGGAGCGGAACATTAGGCCCATGACTCTCTCTCCCCCACCTCCTTAGCTTACAACGACTCCATCCAAGCCCAAAAGAATGACGTCTGCCGCCCTGGGCGCTATTATGAACAGCCAGATAACGGAGTCCTCAACTACCCAAAACGTGCCTGCCAGTTCAACCGGACCCAGCTGGGCGACTGCTCGGGCATTGGGGACCCCACCCACTATGGTTATAGCACTGGACAGCCCTGTGTCTTCATCAAGATGAACCGGGTACCCAGGACCTTAGTTCCCAGGGAGAACAGAGGAGGGAGCTGGGGCCACCATCTGCTGGCAGTTGCTTCCTTTCACTGGGGTTCATGGGCTTTGGGAGATTTTTAGATGTTTGAGTGGCTGAGAGAACAAGAGAGATGGGACCATTGATGGCTGAGAGCATGGATCCTTATGTCTTTGACAACTTCTTTCTCTAATCCTCACCACTCTTTCTCCTAACTCCAGGTCATCAACTTCTATGCAGGAGCGAACCAGAGCATGAATGTTACCTGCGTGGGGAAGGTGAGTTTGTTGGGCCTTGTCCACCTGCCCTCCTGTTTGTCCTTCAAGGTTTCCCTGTCATTCACTCATCTCTCCCTATCTCCCTTGCTCCCAGAGGCCCCATCACCATAGGGACAAGGGGGTAAGAGTGGACTCCAGTATGGCTCCAACCCCAAGGGGCTCCCACCCCTCTTGTTTCTCTCTAGGATACAGAAGCTTGCTCTTTGGTGTTGATAGATACCCCCTTCCTGACTCTACCTACCACCTTCTTGCCCTAACCCTTCCATCTTCTCTATTCCCTGACCATGCTTTCCCCTCTCCCTCCCATATCTCTCCTGCCCCTCCATTCTTTTTAAGTATCTAGTAGCTGCTGATCTGTAAATGCCACCTGCCACCACTAAGTTGTCCTTAGAACCCTGGACCCCCCACCTCTGTCCTCTCTAGGAACGTTCCGCTCCTCTTCAGTCAACCCCCTCCTTCCTTCCTACTGAGTCCTTACTCATTTATCTGTTCTCTCTTGGCTCTGCTCCAGAAACCGATTCCTGAGGATGGGGTAAGAATTTGGGGTGGGAGGGCAGTAGGAGGCTCCAGGCTCATTAGCGCCCTTCAGGACTTCCCAGTCCGATGAGAGACAGGACACCCCTTCTGCGCACACGCAAACCCACCCGGCCTCAGCTCAAGGGAAACGGATTTGAGACAGACTAATTTGGGGTGAAGGAAGAACAGAGGAAAGTCTGGAGAGCTTCTGGGTTCCTGCCATCCCTAACATGCTCTCCCCCACCCTCCTGCGCCCCCACAGCGAGATGAAGATGCCGAGAATCTCGGCAGCTTCGTCATGTTCCCGGCGAACGGCAACATCGACCTCATGTACTTCCCCTACTACGGCAAAAAGTTCCACGTAAGTCCCGTGGAAGGCGGGGGGCCCCAGGGGAGCGGGGTCCTGGGCAGGAGGCCTCGTTGCCGCGGGTCTGCACCCTCTCTCTCCTCCTCTGGCCCAGGTGAACTACACGCAGCCCCTCGTGGCCGTGAAGTTCCTGAATGTGACCCCTAACGTGGAGGTGAACGTGGAATGCCGCATCAATGCCGCCAACATCGCCACTGACGACGAGCGCGACAAGTTCGCAGGGCGCGTGGCCTTCAAACTCCGCATCAACAAAACCTGAGACCCCTTCCTCCCGCCCCCACCTCTTTTCCTATGGATGCTTCTGGAATGTCCACTACCTTGCCTGAGCCCTCCCTCACCCACCCCAAAGGTATTTTTTATAACAGAGCTATGGCTTGTCTGAGCCTCGTGCCCCTTTCCTTTACTTCTGAGTGCATTGTGATTCCCTGGCTACACACATTCTCCACCACCTTCTTCCCATCCTAGCTCAGTCAGAGACAGGGAGACAAGACCCCAAGATGGTCACAGAGGAGGTAGGAGCCTTTCTAGTTCTGGCATAGCAGTGAGTGGGGCATCCTCTTAGCTACCCACCTTCCTGCCCTCTTGTCCTGAGAGAAGGTGCCCACTCTCCCATCCACCCACCTTCTCACTCACACACACACACACACACACACACACACGTCTCATTTCACCCCTTAGCTTCCAGACATGTATGTGGCATCCTTCTTTCTTTTTTAACTGAAGTATGGTTGACCTATAACACTACCTTAGTTCCAGGTGCACAGCATAGTGATTTAATATTTCTGTACATTACAAACTGGTCACCACTGTGGCCCTCCATCCTTCCATTCAAGCTCTGCCACTGTCACCTTCCTCTGTCTCCCATGCCTTCTGCCTTGTCTACGACAGTCACTGTCTCGGTGGCTTTTGTCTTGTCTGGCTCCTCTGGCTGCTCTTCCCCTACTTCTCCATTCCTGTTCCCTCCACTGAAAGGGGACCGCTTGTGACTGAGGACAAGGTGGCTCAGTGGCCTTTTCTCTTTCCTGGCACATCCAGCTTCTGACTGCATGTTGACTGCATGAGCTGGGAATGAAAGTCTGGAAGAGAAGTCCGTGTTAGTTCTTGAAAGTTCTCTTCCTGGTCCTTCTTGTCACCCAACTAGGCACTCCTCAGAGGGGCGGGGTTGACCTAGGCTGAATATCCACTTTGTTTTTTCCGACGGCTCCCTTCCCCCTGTTCCCTTTCCCAGAATATCCTTCAAGTTCTACTTCCCAGGCGCCCTGGGGGAGGGGCAGCCATTTTGGCTGGGTCCCCAGTGGCCACCTTGGAAACGTCAGCTGGCGACGGGAGGACTCTTCCACCTTCTTCCCCTGCGCCCAGATCTGCCCCCACCATCCTCCCTCTGGCTTCTCTTAGCAAGTTATCAACTAATCACTAACTCCTTCCCTTTCCTCCGCATGCCAGCCTGAAAACTGCAAACACCTCCTCAATCTGAGGCTCTGAGTTTCTTGGCCCCATCTCCCTCAGACCCCTTTGCCTTTTTAAACAACCCCCTAGTGCCCACAGAATGTTAAATGAGGGACCGCCTGTGTTCTTGAATTAGAGAGGGATTTTAACTCTTTCTTCCCCCACACCCTTCACTTCGTCACCTCCCACTCCCCCTCCTTTTTTTTTTGATACTGCAGCTTCCACACCCCACCTACAGATAGACCCTTCCTGTTTTTACTCTTGCTGGATCTGAGTCTCTTCCCTTTGGGTCCCCATGTTTCCCTGCTCTCCCCTCTCCCCAGTGGTCTCTCTCTGCAGTTATTTAATGCCTGTGTCATATCTACTGTAAAAAGAGGATAAAGTACAATAAAATGAGAGCAATTATATATATATAAATATATATCATACATGGACCCCTGCGTGTGGGTTGTTCCTTTCTGAGCATTTGGAAGATTTCCAGGAAGTGGGTGGAGGGTGGAATTGGGTGACCCGGGGTTACCTAGGCCTTGGGGAGGCTGTTTTCCAGCTTTGACCTCTTCCGTCCAGTGTCCAAGCATCTGCCTCCTAGCTCACTCCATCACCTGTACTATCTTGAGATCACTCAACAGAGAGGCAGGAAGCCTGCATCCCTCTGTACAGTGATACTTGTAAAGTGCCTACTCTGTGCATTCTAGGCACCGTGAGGACATACTTACGAGAGAGGCAGAGTTTTTGCCCCCAAGGAGCTCCCCAGTTTAACAGGAGAGGGGAGGAGCACACAAGAAACTCTCAAACCAGGTAGACCTAAACCTACTTCCAGGTGGGGGGAAAGCTGGTGAGAACAAAACTCGGAGTGATCAACCACTTTTCAGTCTTGGCTTTGAAGGGATTTCTTTCTTAGAGGTTTAAAGGATGGAGTGGTTTTGGGGGAGAGAATAGCATCAGTAAATGCCTACAGACAGATGAGGGAAACTGACTAGAAGCAAGAGATCTCAAAACAGTATGAACCATAGCATCCCAGTTTGGTATGTGAAAAAAAAGTACACACACAAGCATAGCAAAAAAGGATGGATGCGTCTACACAACGTTTATTGTAGTATATGGAGATGGATTTATAGCTAATTTTTGTATCCTTGGGGCTTATTTTTGTTTGCAATGAGTTGGTCTTAGCATTTGCCTTGTAAAGATAGCTTTATTATGCATACATATACACACAGTTTTATTATGAATGCATAGTACAAACACATGGGCATGCACACACACACACACGCAGGGATCACTGGGTTTTGGTCAGTCATACCAAAACTGGATATTATACACAGTTTGCATCTTACTGTTCACTCAATTCCACCTGGCCTGGTATAGCTCCTATTCATTTAAAAAAAATGATTGCATATTTTTTCATTCTTCCTTTGTTAATTTATTAGCGCTCCTTGACAGTTGCAGGTATAAACTATTTTCTGCGTTGTAAAATTTACTCCAACTGATTTTACTGTTTATAGTTTTTTTTTTAATGTTAAAAAGGGGTTTGTGTTTTCATACCATCAAATATGCTTAGTTGTTCTTTTGCAGTCTCTGGTGTTCCAGTCAGTAGGGTATATTCTTATCACTTTTAAAAAATCCATAATTTAGTCCCATTGAATTGAAATGCCAACTTTGGCCATATAGTACATTTTCCTGTATGCTGAAATCTACTTCTGGATTCACTACTTGCTGCCTGTGGCTTGTTTACCACTGCATACACCAAGCCATATTGATCTGATTCCAGTTTTATAGTATGTTTTCTGATATCTAGCAAGGCAAGTAGGTTTCCCATCCCCTGCACCTTGTTTATTTTTTGTTGTTTTTTTTTTAAAAAACTGTTGGCTATCCTTGGGCACTTACTATTCTCTATAAATTTATAACAAATGTATCCAATTTACAAAAACAAAAGCCATCAACACTTGGGCTTCTAATTGGAATTGCAATGACTCTTTATTTCAGGAGAATTGAGCTTTTTTAGGATACTAAGTTTTTCCATCTAAGAACATGCTCTCTTTCCTTTTGTTTGCAGCTGGGTTTATGTCCTTAAATAAGGTTCTATAGTTTTCTTCATGTAGGTTCTGTGCCTATTTGTGTGTGTGTGTGTGTGTGATTCTTAAGAAACTTATTACTCATCTGAATGGAATATTTTTTCATTCTTTTTTTCTCAGTGCTTTTGCAGTAAGATAAAATATTTTTCTCCTATTCATTTATTTTAATTCCATCAGCTCTCTATTATTAACTAAGAAGTCAGTCTTCAGGTACACATTCATATGATCAAAAAGGCAAAGATTTTATATATATAAAATATATATACTTTACCAATTTTTAAAAATCCTCTTGAGTGCTCTAAAACCGTTGTTAGTGGGCATCCCTGTATAGTTCTTAACATATTGAAAATTGAAATTATCTTAGGGTAATACTGGCATTCCATTACTATTTCAACTAAGGTTTGTTTTTTTTAAAGGGATGGCTGCTGAAATTTAATCAAATTCCTTTCAGCATCTCTTGATATGATCATATTTTTCTTTCTTAACTTGTTAATACAATGAATTATGTTGACAGATTCTCTATTAAATCAACTATGCTCCTGGAACAAACCCTACTTGGTTAAAAAGATTCATCAGTGTGTTCTGATACTATTCAGATATTTTGCTTCTCTCTCTGTAAGTTAATTTGGCTTCTAGTTTTTTAGTATCTTGATCAGGTTTTATTAGTGAAACCACAATAACTTTACATGAAGTGGAGATTTCACTTTCCCTATGGTCCAGAATAGTTTAGATAACGTTGGATCAATTGTCCTTACTTGTTCTTTTTCCCTCCATCAAGCTCTTGAGTTTTTCTTTTAAAAGTTTCTCTTTTTTAAAGCCCTGCTTTTGAATTTATCCTTTCAAGCAAGTTTGCTTTCTCTCTCAATAATTTATACCTTTAATTTTTAGGATGCATGCTAGGTTCCTTTATTTTTAAATAATGGAAGTATTTATGGTTTACATTTTCTTCATTGTACAACTGTTGCTGGCTGTTACAGATGTGGGGACCCTGTGTTCCTGAAATCAGGGAGATAAGTTTTTAAAAGTTATTCCAAACTGTAGTGGAACAGGATTTGGGTTCTTCAAGTTTGAGGGAAGAGGCTATGTCTGCTACGAGCCCCCATGGCCTAGAACAGTGCTGGGCACAAGTAAGGTACCAACCAATATCTGCTGGCCAGATTGTCAGAGGAATGAACACAACCAGAGGGAAGGAAGTGAGCAGGTGACCAGAGAGGTCAGGGACTCGTTGGAGGTCACACAGCTTAGTAGAGCTGGCCTGAAAACCCAGGACTAATAATTCTCAGCCCAGTAATCTATCAGCTCATAAAGGGATCGGCAGAGCCAGAATGGACCTGCTTTGCAAAGGAGTACAGCAGAGATAAAAAGTGCTAAAGACATACTCTAGAGAAATGTTGAGAGTAGGGGGTGCTGGATGCTGGCCAGAAAGAGAGCTTCAAGGTGACCTGTCTACAGGAGTGAGGCTAGGGAGTTTCAAGTGCTCTGGTTTGCCAAGGGCCTGGCTGGTGGAGAGAAAAGGCGAAGTTAAAGATCTCTGACAGAGGTGGTTCTGGGTCTCCTGGGGAGAGTGTTTGGCATTCCCCAGCAAGAGAAAAAAAGGTGGTTTTGAGGTCAAGAAGCTTGGTGGCTTTACAGCTGTCTGGGATCCTCAGGGCATGCCAAGGGACTCCCATGGGCACTTTTAAGTCAGGTTGAGAGACAGTGGCCCCAGAAGCCCCTCTGGACCTTACTCCCCTCTCTCTGCCTCCAAGGAGGAGGCAGGATGAGCCATGTCCCCGCTGTCTGGCCATCCCTCCAAGCACTAGCTCAGGCAGCAGGGGGCGATGGGGCAGAGCTTGCCCCCAACCCCCATCCCTGGGAGCTGGCAGCACTGAGGAACAGAACGGTGGGGGGTGCTGGACTTCCCAGGCTCGGCTCTCCTCCCTACCCCAAGAAGCCCTTTGAAAGGTTTTTCTGGCAGAGTTTAAAGCTTCAATTCATTCAACTGGCTGGCATGAGGCCCGGATGAGGGGATGCTGGGAAGGCCCCAGCCCCACGTCTCGGCCCTCACCTTAGCCGCCCCCAGCCACCCCCTACTCTCTCTCCTCATCCAATAGCAGCACCCCCCACCTTGGGAACCCAGGTATCCTGCCCTTTTCCCGCAGAGCAGATGGCCACCCCAGAGGCTCAGGCTTGCTAAATCAGACATTTAAATCCCGTAATCCTTGGTGAGAGGCTGAGAGCGGGTAGCAGCCCAATCCTAGAAGCAGGAGCAGGAGAAGACCTTGTGCCAGCCCTGGCGGGAGGGGAGGGGTTGGTTGCTGAGTTATGAATGGAGTCACCCCTTCCCTTATTGTCATGCAGCCTGCAGACTGACCCAGTCTCCAGCTTTTGTTCTCCTCCCGGAACCCGGGCGTTGGCCCCCCCAAACCCACTCCCAGAAGACTCAGGTGGTTGCCTCCCAACCTCACTTCCTCCTTCATCCCTGCCCCGTGCGCCCCAGGTACCCTGCAATGGCACCAATCCCTCAGACACACTGATGGTAGCAAAGTTTTATTGTAAAATAAACTGATATAAAAATGGGATATAAAAAGGGAAAGGAAGGGGTGCGGGTGATAAATGCAGATGTGCCCTGCAGAGTACAAAAGAAATCTGCCTCAGAATTTGGGGGAAGTAAAACAGATCTTGATAGATACACCACGGATGGAATCCTCCAGGGTGTGGGATGGGGGTGAGACCTCCTCTTAAGTGCTGAGGTTCACCAAGAGGTTACACAGGATTTGGCAGGGCCAGCAGAGAAGGACCTTAGACATCCCCTCCCCTTAACCAGCTGCTCAGTCAAGTCACAGAAACTCTCAACCCATCCACTAAAGGGGACACACAACCAGTGCCCACGAGGGCACTAAGTTCTAGACATCATGCAATAGAAGGTGGCTCTGGGGCCAGACACACATTATTTCATTAACCCTCACAACAAACCCCGTGAGGTAGGTATGATTACCAGCATTTTATAAGTGTCGACAATGAAGTTGGAGAAACTCAACAACTTAATATAGTTTCCTTAGCTAGTATGGTGGAGAACGGGGCTTCCTACGCCCGTGTACGGCCGCTTGGAAAACGTTCCTTCCATGCAGGAACACCTTCCTACCTCTCACAAAGTTCCGCACAGTAAAAACCTTATAAGCTAAGCTGTAAAGCCTCAGCACCCGCTACATCCCACCCCCAAAACCACCAGTGCAGGTCAACTTCTTTAGCAGAGCCCGGGCCAAGCAAATGGAAGAATTGCAGAATGTCTGAGGCACATCTGCATCAAGCAGAGGTCTTAGCACCTGAGTCCCAAAAAATGCCAGGGGAGGGGGATGAGGGCAGGGGTGTCAACAGGAGAAAGGAAGCAGAAGACGTCAGTCTGAGTCAGGCCCTTCTCTCTTGAACATCAGTTTTTTATGGCGGGAGGGAGACTGCCCCTTCTTAGACTTCAGGTGGCTGTGAGGAGAGAGGGGGAGGGGCGGAGATGACATCATCTGAGTGAGATGCTCTCACTTCCTGGAGCTGGGCTTTGAAGGGCTTGAGAGGGGAGCAAGGAGAACTTAAGTTAAAATGGTCACTGCCCACTGCAGACACATTGATTGAGCACCTTGGGGTACTTGTGTGTATATTAGCCTCTTAGTCTTCCCTTACCCCATTTGACAGATGAGGAAACTGAGGCCAGGAAGGGGAACGAATAACAAGGCTACACAGGACTGGCAGGGCTAAGGATCTGACCACCCCCCACCATGTCAGACACTTTCACACAGTTATGAGGCCCCTATTTGAGACTCCAGCTCTGAGCTAGGGGTTGCTACAAATGGCAGAGATACATCTGTGCTCATCCCTGGACCCTGGGTCACTTACCTAGAGTGAGCCTTGTTTTCCCCTGGCTCCTTTCCAGCCTGAGCATCCTTCAGCTCCAAGGCCTCATTCAGCTCCCGGAACATCTCAAAACGTTCACGCCCGCGGATCTGTGGCGGGGAAGGAGGAGAATAAAGAAGCATTAGGTCAAGTCATAGAAACAATTTTTACTCTCTCTTTAACAAACTTCTTTCTGAAAGAGGGTTCTTTAAAATGTATGGGATGGTATAAGCTAGCATTCTGATGTTAGGCACAACCAGGGGCTATTGTCTCAAGGCACCACTGCTCCCTGATGGCAAGTGCTCCGAATACGGGCAAAGCAGTCAGGAAGAAAATAGCATCTGGAGCACTAGGCTTGAAACGTAAAGCTCTCAAACCAGTAAATGAACCACAAGAGTCGCAGCCATGAACAGAGAAAAGGATGGCTAGAGGGAGTGGGCTTAACACCACATCTGCTGTATCTACATCCTCTCTTCCCTTCTCTGACCCCCACTGGGTGGGGGCAAGAGGCTGTATCTCTCTCTCCCAGACTTGGTACCTGAAGAGTGAAATATTCTCCATCCAGCGGCTTCTTCTTTTGTGGTGGAGAGGAGCTGCTGCTGGTAGGCAGTGCTGGGAAAGAGGCAAGGAAAGGGGGAGAAGAGTGAGTTTGGGGCAGAACTGCACCCTCTCTGCCTCCTCTACCTCTTGCCTGCTCACCTCGCTTAGTGCTCCCAGGGGGCAGCTCAGGGCAAGGCTGCCCCTTCTTGCGGAAATTTTCTTCTTCTGTGCGGCGGTCTCTCCCAGGACAGGCACAAACACGCACCTCAAAGCTGTTGCGTCCCAGCAGATTACCACTACCCAGGTAAGAGGGAAGCAAGAGGCAGTGAGGAAGGTGGGCTCTGCCTTTTTGTTCTCCTGTAAACGAGGCCCCACCTTCTCCCAATTATCCACATCCTATGTGGAGCCTAAGTTCCAGCTCCAGGCAGATTGAGAAGCCACAGGTTAGAGAGGTCCCAAAGCCAGAGAAAAGAGAACTGGGAGGGAGGAGCAGAGGAAGGGGATGCTGTGAGGGGGAAGGGTGGGTGGTAGGAGGGGAGAAAGTGGTGAGGGGCAAGGCCCAGGGGATGGAGACAGGCAGAGGCTAGGGAGGAGCATGCCAGTGTGGAGGGGACCATGTGGTCCCTACCTGGCGTCCTCCAGTGTGATGATGGTGAGGATGGGTCGCCGGTTCATGCCCCCCATGCAGGAGCTGTTACACATGAAGTTGTAGTGGATAGTGGTACAGTCAGAGCCGACCTGGGAGACAGCATAGACCCAAGGTGAGGCTATCCACTTCTGGGGGTGGCCGTTAGCCTCTGTGAGCCTCAGTTTCCTCAACAGTGAAATGGGGATAACCCACCTGCTTTGTGCACCTTGCAGGGTTGTGGGGGGGTCAAGTAAGAAGCAGGAGAAAGCACCCCTGTCTCCCACCTGGATGGTCACTGACAAACCCCTCCTGCCCCCTCCTCCCAGAGGCCCCAGTTGCCAAACCGACCTCCGGCGGTTCGTAGGGCACCACCACACTGTGTCGAAAAGTGTTTCTGTCATCCAAATACTTGGCACGTAAATTCCCTTCCACCCGGATAAGATGCTGAGGAGGGGCGAGACCTGAGAGCAATCAGGGAGGAATTAGGGGCCGGGGGACTCTGGGCACCAGCCCTGACCCATCCACAGCCCCCGCCCGCTCACCATCGCTGTAGTCAGAACTGCGCTCGTGGTGGGGGCAGCGTCTCACAACCTCCGTCATGTACTCTGACTTCTTGTAGATGGCCATGGCGCGGACCCGGGTGCCGGGTGGGGGCAGGGAGCTGACCCACAGCTGCACCGGGCAGGTCTTGGCCAGCTGGCAAAACAGCTTGTTGAGGGGAGGGGAGTACTGTAGGAAAAGGAGAAGGAAGAATGAATGGAAGGTCAGGGGACAAGGACCCAGGGGCAAAGGAACAAACACTGTGCAGTACCAACTAGAAGCCACGTACTATGCGGGGAGGGTAACTGGAGGTGGCAAGGTTGGGTTGACAGCCTGGAAGCTTACTTACAAAAGCCAAGGAAGGAGTCAGAGTGAAGAAAAAAGAAAAAAGATGGCCTCATGACAGATGTTGAGAGTGTGATGGGAAGGATGAAAGTTAAGGGGGAAAATTCAACTTTGGACCTGGGGTCAAAGGCCACAGACTAAAGAGGTACAATGTAGAAAGACTGACACAAAGCCAGAGGCTGAAGAGGAATCCCAAAGTTCTGAACTGAAAAACCCTGGACGATAGGACCAGGCATCGAATCATCCCATGGAAGCCAGCCCCTCAGGGCCACTGACCGTGCAGGTTACAGACTTGGCTGTCCCAGAATGCAGGAACCCAAGACGGAAACCGTAGCTGCCAGGGTAGGTCTTCTGGGAAGGGACAAAGGATGACAGGGGCCAGGAGGTGGCTGGTGCGGAGGCAGTGGGGACAGGAGGCTCTTGCATTCTTGGGGCTTCATCTGGATTCTCATCCAACCAGTTGGTAACTTCTGGGGACAGGAGTAGTTCATCCACTGCCGGGGAGAACTCGGAGGACTGCAGAGGGAGAAACGCGAGTCAGCAGGTCAGGTTCCCAGCTCCCCCGGCCCCACAGCCCCTGGGCCCTTCCCACACCGCAGTCCTTACCAGAAGGTTGTTTTCAGGTAGTCTGCAAGACAAGAGCACAAAGTCAGTATTGGTTTTTGCTTCCCACCAGCCTCTACTAGGGGGCTGGTGTTGGGGCTGGAGCAAGGTTATTGGAGGCCACACCCTGCCCCGCTCTTAAGACCCCCACTCACAGTTTCCACAAGTCTGAAAACGTCTCCTGACTCAGAGGGGGCTCCACGCCGAGTTCTGATTGCGACTCCTCCATGTCAGCTCCTCAGAAGGCAGTGGGGCCGCTGTGCGGAGAAAGGTGGGGATCTAGCCCAAGGTACACGTGACCTGGGTCACCTGGCCCTGAGGCAGGAGGGACTCCCTCCACCCCCTGACTTCCAGAGGAGCAGGGCCGCTCCTTCACAACTCAGGCTGCGCCTAACCCTCACCACACACTCCCTTGAGGGAAAAAGACAACCAGAGAGGAACTTCCAACCTCCCACCACGGAATCCACAAGCGCTCCTCAATGTGTACTCTGTTTCTGCACTCCTTTGCTGTCAACAAGATGAAGCAACTCTCAGCCCGCTCACTCCATCTGGGGGAAGATACCTCCCTTGACCCCCACATTCCCCACCCTGTCCTTTAGGACGGCTCCTCATCCCTGCCTTACAAACCCCTCAACCCAGCCCCTGTCTACCTCTTTGATCTCACTTTCTAGCACCCTCTCCCTTCTCTGATGCTTGGGCCCCACTGGCTGCCCTTCCCTGCTCATCATACACTCCCCCAGTTCACTTAACTGGTGCTTCCCTCTACTGGGAACATGGGTCCTGCCATCGCCACAGGCTAAGCTCCTTCTCAGAGACTTCATTGTCAATGTCACACCTCAGCCGGGATGTCTTCCCAGGCCTCTCAATCAAAGCCAGCCAGCCAAACTCTGTCACCTTATTTTAGTTCAGGTCACCTGGTTTTAATTCTCGAGTACATACACTACCTGATACCTTTTCTTGCTCATTTTGTCAGTTTCCTCCACTGGAATATAGACTTCCTCAGGGCAGGGAAGTTGTCTTGTTCACCACAGTTACTAGCATAATGCCCTGCACCTGGTCAGGCTCAATAACTGTGGTAAATAAGTGAATTGTTGTCCAGGCTGTGAGCTGGTTATGAGCAGTCAGGGGAGCAAGGGGGATGGAGGGGTGGCTGCGGCCTGGGCCAGGGCCCTGCAGTGGGCTATGCCACCACCGTCTCATCTCCTAGGCCATCTTTCTTGACGACAAATTTGTCATCAACTTTTCTCAAAAACATGCATGCTGCAAAAGTCCATGTTCGTAATACTTACGGGTTTTTTTTGGTGGGGGGAGGTAAATAGGTTTATTTTTCTTTATTTATTTACAGAGGTACTGGGGATTGAAACTAGGACCTCCTGCACGCTAAGCAAACTGCACCACTGAGCTATACCTACCCGCCAACTTTTTTGTCTCAGTGGCATGACAAACATCCCCCCAGCGAGCAGCTCTTTTCTAATCGCCCTTAACATTTCACCTGCACCTTTACTTCGATATAGGGCCTGCCTTCTTATGTACTTACAGTTTGCAAAATCCTTTCATGTGGGTTATCTTATCTGTCCCGATAACCAGATAACCACTCTTGCCTCTTGACAGATGAGTCTCAGAGAAGTTAAGTGACTGGCAAGTGGTACACACAGTTGAGTGAAGGTGCTTTTACGAAAAATGACTGTTCAAATGTCTAGGATTAAGACGCTTCATTACAGACTACTCTGCAGAGCTCTCTTTGAGGGAGGATGGACTATGATTGTGTATGGAGGAAGGCTAGAGGGGATAGCAGGGGGACCCCCAAACATTTGCCTTGGGGTCAAGGACCAGGGGCCCCCCACCCCCAAGACTGATGATCAAAATAACTTTAAGACTTTTATGGAAGGGAGACTCGTGTAAACAGACAGGGCTCAGAAGTCAAGCACCCTGGGTTGGATGCTGTATTGTCATTTTTTGGTTTGTTTTTTGTATTGTCATTGAAATATGCTGCATAACCTCACTTATCTTGAAGCTCCCCTGCAGAACACTGGCTCTGGAGCAGATAGGCTAGGTCTGCATCCCAAGTTTACCAACTATAATAGCTGTGTAACTTTGGGAGGTTGCTTAACCTCTCTGTGCCTTAGTGTCCTTTGCTCTAAAATAGTGCCCTACTTATGGGAAATATCAAGAATTGAGAAGACTGTCTAGCACATACTAAGAGCTCAATAAATGCTTCTCTTTACATGATCATTTCAGTTTTGTTTATTCTGTAGTATTATTCCAGAGTGAGAACTTTGTGAGTGGGCGGGGCTTTTGTGGCCCTGCCCGGGGTTAGTGCTGGTTCGCCTCCCTCAGGCAACTCTGTTCAGTACACATGCCAGGAGGGAGACAGCTCCTCATTCCTTGGTTAGCAGCTAAATTCTCAATGTTTCTTTCTCTAGGAAACCTCTTCAGAGCAGGTACTTCCCATGGGTACGAACATCCAGGGATCATGATGCTAAACTGTCAGAAGCTGAACCAGACCCTCCAAATGGTTGGGGAGGCAGAACATTTACACAGGCAGTCCTTGTGGGAAGGCAACAAATTCAGCTGGGACTCACAGGAGGGGCAGGTTTGACCACTATCATAACAATGGCTGTTGTTTATACAGACCCTAACCGTGCCCTCAGCTTTCGGCGGCTTATCTCATTAATCCTCTCAAAAAGTCAGTATGGTAGGTACTATCATCAGAGGAGAGAACTGAGGTTAAAGGAATTAAGTCACTTACCCAGGCTCAGGAAGCCCCCAAGGGGCAGGGCCAAAGATACGAACCTGGGCTGTCTGAAGCCACACCCAAGTTCTAAATAATTGTGCTTGACTGACTTCACCCAGAGTCTGGTGTTTAAAAAAAATTTTTTTGGGGGGGGTGCTGAAAACTATGTGATTGGGAAAGAAAAATTGATTCTGGGAAGAAATAAGGCAGCGTCTGGTAACACTGAAAACACATCTTACTACTCAGCAAAACCACTTCTAGGTGGACTCCTTAGAAAAAAGGTTGCATGGGCAGCAAGAGTTGCACGAAAACATTCATGTCATTGTTGCTCTTAAGGGAGGATGACAAGAAACCACCTTACTATTCCCTACAGTAGGGAATAGGTAAACAACACGTGGTGTAGTCACTCACAAGAGAAATTTACTACAGCAGTTTCAGGAAATGAATTTATCTGTGTATGTGTAAGCAGATATAGCTCAGAAACGTTGGGTGAAAATATAATTTGCAAGAAACAAAGCAAAACACAATGATAGAAGTGGGTTATGGAAATTAAAAATATAAAACGATTGCTTATTAATTTACACACACACACACAAAGTATGGCAGACAGGCAAGAAGAATAAAAATTCACAAAACCTATGGTAGTGATGGTCCAGGGACAGGAGGGGATGTCTGCTTATGGCACTGGGGATCTAATCAAAGAGAGTTTTTAGCTTTATTAACAAAGAAAAACTTAAAACTATTTGGTGGGGATATATGTTATGTTACTATTGTACCTGTTTGCATTTTCTTAAAATAAAAAAAAATCTAAGAAGGTAAAATAAAAATTATGGAACATTTTAACCATATAAAAAGGTAAAGAGAATAACGTATCCCCAGATACCCACGACACAGCTTCCAGAATAATCAATATTCTGCCTTTATTATCTCATGCATAACTTGAGCCACTCCCCACGACCCCACCAATGTTTCTGAGGTAAAACACACACACGGTGAAATGCTATCATACCATTTTTGATGACAAAATGTGACAAATTTTGATGCAGCTCTGTAACCCACCCCTACCAAGACAAAGACATTTTCCTGTATTTTCTTCTCAAAAGTTTTATGTTTAGGTCTATTAACCACCTCAAGTTAACTATTGTGTATGATGTGAGGTGGGGGTAAAAGTTCATTTTTCAGCTCCAGATGTTTCAGGGCCACTTGTTAAAAAGCTTCCCTCTCCCTGCTGATTCACTTTGGTGCCTTCGGAGACAATCATTTGTCAACAAACTATATTCATTGGTTGTTGTTCTACCATAGTTTTATAGAATCTCAAGTATTTTAAGATCTCCAACTTTCTACTACTCTCTTCATTTTGGAATCAATTTGTCAGTTCCCACAAACAAGGCTGGTAGGATTTTTGACTGGGATTGAATTAAATAATTCTGATGAAGACTGACACCTCTTGAGTTTCTGATCTACAAGTATGGTATCTCTCCATTATTTAAATCTTCCTTAAATTCTCTCAGCAATATTCTGTAGTTTTCAATACAGAGCTCTTGTCCAACTTTGGTTAAATTTATCCCTGAGTATGCCATATTATTGGATGCTATTGTAACAGCATTGTTTTTAAAATTCATTTTTTGACTTCAGATTCAAAGTCGCTATTATATAAAAATACAATTTATGTATATAGCCTTTGAAACTTGCTATAATCACTTATTAGTTATAATAGTGTTAAATGAATTTTCTATTAGGACTTTTTATGTACACAAAAAGCAGCTTTATTTCTTCTTTTCCAGCTGTTACATTGATTTCTTTTTCTTGCCTCCAGTTTACAGTGCTGAAGCGGTGAGAGTTGAATCCTTTTCTAGTTCTTGATCTTAGAGGAAAAGCAATCAACCTGTCACTACTGTGTATGTTCATGGTAACTTGATTGCCGGTGCCCTTTATTAAAATGAGTAAGTCTCTTTTTCCTAGTTTGCTAGGTTGGTTTCTCTTTTCTTTCCTTTTAAAATCATGAATAGGTGTTGCATATTGTCAACTGCTTTTTATGCATTGATTGAAACTGATCATATAATTTTTACCCTTTCATCTGTCAGTGTGGCAAATTACATTTATTTTTCAATGTGAAAATGTTGCAGTCCAGGGACAAATTCCACTTGAGCAAGATATATTTATCATTTTTATATTCTACTAGGCTTGATTTGCTAAAATTTGTTATATTTTTGTATATATATGCTAAAAGGAATACCGGTCCAGATTTTCTTCTCTTGTAATATGCCCTTGTTTGGTTTTGGTAAAAGGATTATTTTGGCCTCATAAAATGAGTTGGGCAGTGTGACTTCCCCTATATCTTGAAAGAGTTTATGTGAGATTCCTATCATTTCTTCCTCAGATGTTTGAAGAGAAGAACAAAGGAGACAGACAGCAAATAGCACTAAGACAGCAGATTTAACCTAAACCTAACAATAACTCCATGAAATATTAATGAACCAATCAAAAGCAACTCAGTAAGGGAAAGCTATTTCAACAAGTGGAGCTAGAACAACTGGATATCTATAAGAGAAAAATTATCTTGATGTCACATCATAAAAAAACCTTTTAATCAATCAATCAATCAATCAAGGCTCATAGACCTAAGCGTAAAACCTAAAACTACAAAGGTTCTAGATGAAAATATACGAGAAAGTACTAGAGAATATCCTTGGGACTTTGGGATATGATTTCCTAAAGAGGTCACAGCAAATACTTAAAAGAAAAAAGATGAATCTTCTGCTCCTCTTAAGAGCTGTTAAATAGGCAAGCAAGAAGTCAGGAGAAAACTCATGTATCTGACAAAAGAGACTCCTATTCAGAATATACAAATAACTCCAAAACTCAATAATACAGAAAGCAAATAAACCAATTTTAAAAATGGGGAAAAGACTTGAATAGCCATTTCACATATGGCACAGACAAGGCCAACAAGCACATGCAAACTGTTTAAGGTAGTTAACAAAGAAACTGCAAATTAAAACCACAATGAGATACCACATGAGTAAAATCGACAAACCAAATAATGAGACAGGATGTATCTTGCTGGGAGAACTGTAAAATGGTACAACCGCTTTGAAAAATTAGAACTTTTTAATAGAGTTAAAAAATACATAGATCTACTTCTCACTCTGACCTAGCAATTCCATTCCTAAAATTTATCCAAGAAACATATGACCACAAAAATAATTTTACAAGAAAGTTAATAACAGTTTTATTTAAAATAATCCCAAACGGTAAACAACTCAAACCTCGATCAAAAAGAGAATGGCTAAACAATCGATGGTTTATTCATCCAATGAGATATATTAACTGAAAGGAGCAAAGTGCGGATAAGACGCTGATACATGCAATAAAACGGGTGAAATTTCAGATATGCTGATGGAAAGAAGCCCGACACAAAGGAGCACATACTGTATAATTCCATTTATGTGAAGTTCTCCAACAGACAAACCTAACCCTTGGAGACAGAAATCTAAATTAGGTGGGGGTCGGGTCAGATACAGACTGGGAAGCAGCATGAGAAATTTGTATTTTGATAGTCAGTGGTTGTAAACGCTACCGCAGTGTAGAAAGACGCTCGTAAGTATCGCGAATAGTGTCCGGTTCGGAGCAGGTGCGTGGTACATGACCGCGCCCTAAACGATGAAGATGCGGGAGAAACCGATTGGGGTTAGACATCGCGCGGGGCCAGCCGCCCCCAGCAGGCAAGAACTAGCTGGGACCGGAGGCCTGCACTCAAGACCTCGGGCCACGCCCCTCTCCAAGGCCCGCCCCTTCCGCTTTCACGACGTTCACTCTGCGTCCGAAATGGGGATGGCTCAACCCAAAGCCGGATACAGAAGAAATTGCTTCTCCGCCACGACAAATGGCCCATCGTTATACTCTTTTATCGTTTAATTCTCAGATGTACTCATTCTTGAGTACCCAGGGTTTGCCCTCTGACACCTAAAAAAAAACCATAAAAACCGTCCCACGCAATGGTAGTGTCCACTAGGACAGCCCTCCACCGGGATGGAGCACACCATTCAAACGGGGGGGAAGGATTGCGGTTTGAATCAAAACAAACCCCTCTTCCTTTCCGAAAGAGGTAACTAAGTACTTCAGGAAGGAAAAAAAAGAAAAGAGGTTAGTAGCCCCCCTCCTCAAGCAATAGGAACCCGTCTGGAAGACTTTTCCTCTAGTTCCCTTACATCGGATGACTAGTGGGCTGCTCCGAAAAAAAGAAACCGGAAATGCTCTTGCAAGCGGCATAAATGTAAAAGTAGAGGCAAACAATAACAAAGCTCCCTGGCCTTTTCAGGCCGGTTTAGTCCTTCTGGGCTTCGCGGGCAAACCTGTTGTTTAGCACGTCCAATTTCCACAACATATAGTGTTTAATTGGCTTTTCTCCATCTAGCGGAGCCTGGGGCCAGTTGGAAAGATCACTCCAGGAAGGACAAAGGTCCGGAAGTAATGGGACCTTAGCAGCCTGGACTTCCCGGATCACCTCGAATAACCACTTCGGAATGGAACCCGAGGTCCCACTGGGATTCCATAGGCTTTGAAATCTTGAGCCATGAAACCCGAAAGTTACGAGATCTGAAAATCTCAGACCCTGGTGCTCTGTGCGTCTTATTTCGGGGTCCCCCACACCAGCCCTGGGATGGGGGTGATGGTGGCGGTTGGGGGAAGAACCCCCTAGGCCGGCTCAAGATTCCCCAAAGCCCTTCTCCCTGGTCCAGATGTTCAGCTTTGAGTTCGGCTGGTCCTAACACCCCCATCATCTGCACGCAGGCCTCCTAACATTGCATTCCTTGGCTGGTGTGGCTAGCGAAGCTTCCATTCCCTCCAAAATCGCTAAGACCCCAATGCCCCACCCCCAGCCCCCTCTATTTCACCGAGCTGAAAATTCACGGAGCGGAAATCTCGTGACTCAGAGAGGACTCATCAGGCTCAGTCAAGAGCTTACCCGAAGCTCAGGGGAGCGTGTCACCGTCCTGGGATGCACGCTCCGAGACCGGACGCCAGGTGACCCCGGAGCCCAGAGGCTACCTGCGAACACGATGGTGGCTCTGGACTTTTGAGGAGCTCAAAACTTTTAGCGCCAGTCCGGAGCACATGGGAGGGGGAAATCCCAATCCCAGCAACCCTCGCGAGGCTCCTGGCACAAAGCTGGACAGTCGCCATGACAAGTAAGGGCAAGTAATTACCCTGAGGGCGGAGGCGATGGGAACGGAGAGTAAAAGAGGAGGATGTGGAGAGAGTCAGGACTCTCGCCTTATTGTTACGGTAGCTACAGACCGGAATGGGTAAGTTCGACAAACCAGAGCCAGGAGGGCAGAATTGGTGGAAACCATCTTGGAAGACTTCTGCCAATGTGTCAAATAGAAGATAAAAGGAAGAAAGCCTTTGCACTTGATATTCCCTCTACCTGGAACACTCCTAGATAGCTAGGCAGTTTTTACTAATCAGCTAAAATGTCATCTTTTAGGAAGGTGTCTTCCTTAATGTCCCAGTCTAACTTATACTCCTAGATACGCTATATCACACTATCTTATTTAATTTCCTTCACAGCCCTTACCGTTTTCTGAAATGATTTGTTCTTTGCCTTAAGTACACAGGGATCTTATATACTATCTTATTCGTTGTCGTGTTTCCCAGTGCCTAGTACAGTACTGGGTAGCAAGTAAGAGCTCAATAATAAGTACTTACTGAATGAATGAAAAGAGATGAAGGTCTGAGGAATTTAGCGAATGAGATGCAAAAGAGTCAAAACCTGTAAAATGAAATATGGCGCTAGCGCCCTCTGCAGGTTGGGGATGGGAGTAGGTGCTTTCAGAATGACCGCGCAAGACGGCAGGGGGAGCACAGGCACTTCTCGCCCAAACAGAAGCTTTCGGACTACGACTCCCAGCAGCCATTAGGAGCCCCGGGGCTTGATGGGAACTACACCCCATGATCTGGTACGCCCCTGCCCCGCCCCTCCGTGGGTGGCCCGCGAAATCTGATCCGGGATACCGAGGTCCAATCGAAAGATGGGCTCAAATCCCGCGAGAGCAGGTGGTGCGTAGCGACCCACAGGGCTGAGGAACGTTGTGCTTTCCATTAATTGCTGCAGGCTTGTTAGCCTAGTCTTCCGGGGGAGGGGATATCTTCTGGCCCCCTCCCGGGAAAAGAAGGAAGGCACAGGTGGGTTTCTCCAGTTATGCGTCCCGATCCTTGCGAACTTTGAAGCAGTCTCGGCCGCGTCGGGCAGCTGGTAGCCGGCAGGAAGAGAGTTGCCTGGCCGCGGCCAATGTCTGCCGCGCTTTCTCTGCAGTATGAAGACACCGGAGGCGCCACTGTTAGCTCCGGACTGCCTTCCTTCAGACCAGGGCCCAGTTCCAGACCGTCTCTCTCCTCAGGCTTCCCCGATGGATAAAAATACAGACCCTGAACTGATGCCACCACCACTACCCGATGGGGATGATCCGCTCCGGATGTCCCCAGATAGCATGGCTGGCTCAGCTGTGGCCCAGGAGCTGGGGGAGGGGGACCCGGCTTCTCTCTCCACTCCCCTGGAAGCAGGGTGTGGTATTCCTAGTGAGTTGAGCCCTCGAATGGAGGAGCAAGAACTTTCTGAAAATGCGAACCTTCCTGCAGAAGAAACGAACAGGCCAGAGTTGGGGGCCGGAGAAAACTTGGAAGGTGTGTCTGAGGAACCTGCTCCGGAGGATGAGAGATACACGTAAGTGGTGATGCAGTTGGCTCAGGAATCCGAGGAGATTGGAAGTGTGAGATATACCTTATCCGCCCGCCCCACTTCTCCAGGCCCATTTCCACTTTGGCGATCCAGGTTTGTTGTACTCCCTGTCTTCCTTCCAGCACTTGGAACTACCACTTCTCCCAGTTGCCTCGGTTTCTCAGTGGTTCCTGGTCAGAGTTCAGCACCCAACCTGAGAACTTTTTGAAAGGCTGTAAGTGGTAAGTAAGGGTAACTGGGCAGGGAGAAAATCACACCCAGGACTTCCAGCTTAAAACAGCCCAGTTATCTGGGAGAAGGATCCACCATGGTGGGAGAGGGAGTAAGAATTCCTCTTGGACTGAGCTTAAATTTCATCTAGGACTGTGTGTCTTTTACTTCCCTCAGGGTCTTGAGGGTGCTTACCTATCCCAGAGATCAGCTTAGCCGGAGCCCTACACTTGGAAAATACAGGTCTGTCCAGCTTTCTCTTTCCTACTCCTAGGGCCCCTGATGGTTCCTGCATCTTGACCAATAGTGCAGATAACATCCTGCGGATATATAACCTGCCCCCAGAGCTGTACAGTGAGGGGGAGCCGCTGGAATATGCAGAAATGGTAAGGGTAGGGGCTAACTGCCCCTTCATCAGGCACTGCACATTTAAGACCTTCTGGGGGTGGAGAAAGTACAGTCCACATGTTTCCTGTTCACAGGCAGGATGTTTCTTCACCATGAGTTTCCCCAGGTAGTATTTTCTGCCCTGAATTCTAAAATGATTTAAAGAGATGTTTGTCATTCTTTAGTAAGGAATATGTGTTTTCTGTAAAAGAGTAGTGGATTTCTCACTGTAGTTTTTAATTAACTTGCAGATATTTATTGAATGACTACCGGTAAGTTAGTTACTGTGTTTGGTGTTGGGATAAAGTGATACATGAGACAGATGAAGAGCTGACTTGCTTTCTTGGGTGGGAGATAGACAGCAAGCATGTAAACGAATGAGTAATGAAGTTCACTATGGATTATAAGACATGCTGTGAAGGAAATAGAATGAGAAGAGGTTACCTAGAGGATCCCACTTTAGATAAAGTGGTCAGGGAGGGGCTCTCTGAAAAGGAGACATTTGAGCTGAGATGTGAGGAATGACGAGGTCAGTCATATGAAGAGCTGTAGAGAGAGCTTTCCAGGAAGAGGCAAAGATGCTACAAAGACCCAGAGCTGGGAAAGAGTTTTGTGTATTCAAGGAGCAGAAAGAAGGCCAATTTGCCTGGACTGAGGCCAGTGGGTGGAAAGTGTGGTCAGGTTGGAGAAGTGGATCTTGTGGGTAGGGCATTTGGAGTGCTTTGGGAAGCCATGGGAGAGTTTTAAAAGAGAAAAGTGAAATGATGGCTGAAGTTTAGAGAATGGATTGTGAGTGGGCAAGAGTGGAGACTCATTAGGATGCACTTATCTTGGGCCAGGCGAGAAATGATGTTGGCGTGGGCTAGAGTGGTGTCAGGAGAGAGAGATGTGGGTGGATTTGAAGTATATTTCGTAGGACTTGGAAATCAATGGGGTGGATGGGGGTGCATTTTACTCACAGGATATGAAGAGGTATTGAGACAGAAGTCAAAGGTTTTTAGGTCCCTTAAATGTGGAATGTAAAGCTGAGGGGAGACTTTGAGAAGGGCGCTAGGGATATACTTTGGAAGTGGGAAAGCGTGTCGATGGTGTCTTGTCGATGGTGTCTTGTCAATGGTATCTCACGAGAGTGTAGATGGATGAGGAAAGGCTTGTGCAGAGCCCGGAGTGCCCCAGCCTGTGGAGGTGGATGCTGGAGAAATCACAAAAGTGGAGGCAAAGAGTCATGTCTGACACTGTTAAGAGTGAGGGCAAATTTAGAGAATGACCCGGGAAGATCTCAGTGACCTCGACAAGAGCACTTTGAAAGAAGGGACAGAAGCAGAAGTCGATTAGAGTGGGTGGAAGAAACAATTCCTAAAAAGTGTTTTCCTGTGAAAGGGAGCTGAGAAATGGAATGGTGACCAGAGGGAATGTGGGGCCAAAGAAAGACTAACGGGATGCTCCTGTGAGGTCAGGAATAACCCAGTAGAGAGGGAGGAATTACTGCTGGAGGAGAGAGGTGGGGGTGAAAGTCTCTGTGGCCGGGTGAAGATGGTCCAGAGCACATTTGAGGACTGGACTTTAATAGGGGCAAAATCCTTCCTCGCGGTAGGAAGGAGGGCAGAGGGTGCAGTCAGAGCCAGCAGTTTGGTTGTTGGAAGATTGGGGTATCTCTGTCTCTTGGCTGCTCATTGGAGCAGAAAGGGAAGTTATCAGCTGAAGGAAGAGGTTTGCAGGGAGACAGCAGATGTGAAACGATCAGTCCTGGGGAGGAGAAAATCAAAACCACCATGGAACGTGGTAGTATGGCTATTCTTTGCTCAGTGCCCACTGGAAATTTGTGTCAGCCACTTAAAGTGAGACTGGTGGGCGTGGCTGTGCATCTTTCCCCAACAGTTGACTATGGTTTCTCTTTTTTACGATGAGGAGGATAATAGCACCCACCTCAGAGCTGTGCTGACAATGAGAAGAATTAGTGTAAAGTCTTACAACAGTGCTTGGCCTGTAGTAAGTGTGCAGTACACACTGGTTGTCCTTGGTGTTAGTTGAGTGCAAGCTTGGGCTGGGAGGTCTGGTTGGGGTTTGCCGGGAGAGAAGGACCTGGGGGGTTTTGAGGGTGTTTACGGGGGTGTGCCTGTCATGGTTGATCAGAATGTAAAATGAGTGGGAAAACCGACTGTAAATGGGTTTTTGATGAAGTTGGACAATTGTTGTGGTAGATATAGCAGAGCAAGGGAGCTGAGTGGATTGGAGGCTGTGGTGATGACTCGATTGTGGGAGGGGGTGGCGGGTGCAGAGTGAAGGTCACTGTTGTGGGTGCTGAGGAAGCCAAAGGATGGCAGAGGCCAGGGTGTGGGATGTTTTCATTCATTCTCTCATTGATTCATTCATTTGACACATTTTCCTTGAGCCTGTTCTGTGTGCCAGGCCTGTTTTAGGTGCTGGGGATCAGTCAGGAGCAAAACAGACACAAGTCCCTGTCCTCATGAAGCTTCTGTTCTAGTGTGGGAAACAGGCAATAAAGAAATAACAAAGTAAAATATCTATCTGACAAGTGCCATGGAGAACAATGAAGCAGAGAGGAGGATTGGGGGAATTAATTGCAACTTTAAAAGGGAGGGGTCGGAGAAGACTTCACTACTAAGGTGACATTGGAGCAGAGAGACCTGAGAAAGTCAGGGAGTGAGCCAGCCTGATATTTGGACGAAGAATATGATGGGTAGAGAGAACAGCAAGTTCAAAGTCAGCAGGAATAACAGGAATATCAGTGCGGGCACTGAGACAGTGCCCAGGAGAGAAAGTCTCAGTGATTGAGGGAGAGAGACAAAAGGGAGGAGCTAGTCTGACTGGCAGAACTGCAGAGGAGGTAGAGTTGGGGAGGTGGAAGGATTTGGAAATGCTAGTAAGGAGCAAGTGGTTGACATCCACTCACCTCCAGTCCTTGAGGATTGTACTGGGGAGGGGAGTGAGAATTAAAAGCATTTCAGCTTGAGAAGGCCACAGGGTCAGCGAGGGCCGGTCAAGTCTAGGTGGATGGACGGAGCATTCTGAGAAGATGTGAAATAAGGAAGTTTTAAGATGCTACAATAGGAATTTCAGGGGCCAAGGGGAAAGAATTTGTGGGGGAGGAGGGGTTGGGAGGAGTGTGGGGTTGGAGCTGATAAGGGCGTGTGTTGAGTAGCAGACAGGTGATAGGGAACCTAGATGGCCCAGAAGACTGGGACTTCTCTAGTGCCTGAGGTTAGTGGGAGTGCAGGTCTCGATGGTGAAAGAAGGGTGCCCAGTTCTGGGCATGGTCCTAAACGCCTGCCTAACATGCAGCTCTGTGAGAGCGGAGGTGGCTGCAGACATGTGAGTTCTCTGTTCAAGCTGTAAGGACTCCTAGCCCTGGTTCCTGGTACAGAAACCAGTGGTGTCCAGAAACCAGGGCCAGGTGGGCGTGGTACAGACAGCCTGAAAGAGTTCAGGAGCAGAGATGGTTAGAGGAGGCTGGAGATGTGAGAGGTTGAATATTGCACAAACCCCTGTAAAAGAAATGCGAATGCTAGTGGGTGGGGGTATAGCTCAGGGGTAAAACGACTGCTTAGCATGCGTAAGGTCCTGGGTTCAATCCCCAGTACTTCCATTATAAAAAGTAAAATAAAAATAAATTTTAAATAAAGAGAGAAATGAGAATGTTAAAAAAGGAAGATTCATCATTACCCTCCATGCTACAAAATTCAGCCCTTGTGAGTTTTTCTAGTCTTTCTAAGCTCTGTCCAAGTACTGAAGCTTTCTGTGTGGTTTTAATCCCATGGTAGATGGTTTTGTATACTGCATTTTTTTTCTCTTAACAATCGTACTGTAAATGTTTTCCATGGTGCTCCAGTCTTCACAGTTACCACGTTTAATGGTATATGATAATGCACTGAGTGCCTATGATAATTTTCTTACCTGTTCCCCTATTTTGGACTTTAGGGTTGTTTCCAGGATTGTTATATCATAAATTATTTTTCAGTGAACATCTCTATGTGTTTTGATGGAGATTCTTCAGACACAGATACATTTTATAAGTAAGAAATACGCTAGGTTTGAGAGTGTCAGCATATTTGATATGTCTTGTGATACAGGTAGTCAATTTTTTTCAAAAGATTTTTGTGCTACTGCTACTTTTTTTCCTTATTACTGCTGTTGGCAGTATGAGTACCAGTTTTATCACAACCTCACTCATTAGGTTTTTTCATTTTTAATGTCTGCATGTTTAGTATGGAAATGGATAAAAATCTATATAGGTGGGGAAATTGGGGGAAGATATTTTTGGGCATTTTCACACATCAGTCTCCTACTTCTTCCTGGCAGTTTCCCAGTTCCTCCCCTCCCTTCTCTGCCTTGTCACAGAGCTTTCTGAAACTCCTATTTCTAACTCCCCTGCGTCTTCCCTGAGTATTCTTCCTACTCTGTGGCTCTTGCCTGAGGCCTTCACTTTCCTGTCACCCTCTCCAGGGGAGAACGTGCATCCTCTGTGCCCTACAGATCTGAAGTGGGGGACGGGGTGTCCTTATTTTCAAATACAATATTCAGATAATTGCTTTTTCTCTTGGTAAAAACTTGGCCTTTGAGGCTTATGCTGTTTGCTTCTCCCTAACTCACCGGAGGACCTTGGCACCTCTTGGCCCTCCTGTGCACCCTAAGTCCTTCCACCATCTTGGTGATCTCAGGTTTCCACACCAGAAGCCAGAGTCTCATCCTTTAATCTTCCTTTTCCCTAACCCCCACATCCAGTTAATTACCAAATCCCATTAAGTCCACCTAATCTGTCTAATCCATCTACTTCACTCCACTGCCCCTGTTTTAATTCAAGGTCCAATTATTTTTGGCCGTATGTTACTGGAACAGTCTCCTGTTTCCACTTTCCCATGAATACAATGTCTGTTGACTGCTGATTATACACTAGGTGATGGAGAAACAGTGGTGAGTGGGGCAGACCTGATTCCTGTCTTCTCATAGATTGTGAAGGGCACAGAGGGCTCTGGGAACATGGAGTGTAGCACCCGGCTCAGCTCAAGGGGTCTGGGAGGCTTCCCAGGGGAGGAAGTGTCTAAGAGACCCAAAGGATGATTAGGATTCAGCCAGGAGGAGTTGTTGGGGAAAGTGAAGGCTGAACATTCCAGACTCAGAGACTGGTGTGCATGAAAGCCCAAAGTTCAGGAGTGTAGCAAGGTGGCACCTTCTAGGAACTGAGAGTCAGGATGATGGAATTTGGAGATTTCACAGGAGTGAACACAGATGAGCCTTGAGAGTGGGGTGTGGGATAGATGCCTGGTAAGGGAAGGCTTTGTAAGGAGATTGGGTTTTATACTGAGGGTTTTGGGGAGTCATTGAGATGTTTTAAGCTGGAGAGTGATGCTGTGCAGAATCCAATTTAAGAAGGTCTCTAAGGCCTTGGTGTGGCTGCAGAGTGGAAACTGGAAGGGCAGGTTGGAGTGTGGGGTGCAGGAAGCCCTGGGGAACGTGTAGAAATGTCAGCAAGAAGGCAGTGGCGTCACATGGAAATGAAGGCGAGGGGGCAGATTCGAGAGAACCTCAGAAATGGAATTGGCAAGATCTGGCTGTGCGTTGGACCAGAAGAGGGAAGGGAGTGGAGAGGAGTAGCTGTCAAGGTGCTCAGACTTAAGGCTTAAAAAGTGGCTGGGGAGCTCGAGGGAGCAGCAGGTTTGAAGGCAGAGGGCTGGGTCTTTTCCAGTCACTTTGAGTCTGAGGAGCCTTTGGGATGCCCAGGTGGAGTTTGCCACCAGGCAGTAGGGTGCAAGGCTTCAGAGGGGAGAAGTGGACCCTAAAGAGTCACGGCCGGGTGACATCACTGCCAGGGCCAGCAGATAACTGACAAAGGACTGGTACCCAATTGATTTAAAGATTTCCTTCAAGTCAGTAAGAAAACGACAACAGCCTAGAAGAAAACTGAGCAAGACTGTGAAAAGATGCCCTTAAACAGAAAACTGTCTTAACTTCACTGGTAACGAGAAATGCCAATTTATATCGTAATGAAATACCATTTCACAGCCTTCAAATTGAGAAAAATTTGAAAGTCTGGCAACATCAAGATGAGGCAGAGCAACAGGCACTCGTACATGCTGCTGAGGGCAGAGTGAGTCCGGATGAGCACTTTGGGAAAAAATGTGACACGATCTAGTAAAGTTGGCAGAGCGCATACCGTGGAGCCCAGTAATCTCCCTCTGTAGCAGAAACTGCAGAGAAACCCTCCCACATGTGTACCAGAATGTTAAAGCACACTCTCCAAAACTTGGAAAAACATCAGTGACTGTCAGCAGGGAAAGGATGGGTGAGTGAAGTGCTGTGGAGCAGAGAAAATGTATGAATTTGAGCTCAGCCTGTCCCCGTAAATCTTACAATTGTGCTGGGGTGCGTACACCTTGATACCATTAATATTAAGTTTAAAGGCATGCAAGACAATTCTATATGTTGTATTTTCTCTGTAGGAAAACCTTCCTAAAGAAACACAAAAATGATAAATTCAGGATACTGTGTACCTCTGAGGGAGAGTTTCACTGGGAAGCGGTTTTGACTGTGTCTTCAGCTGGGTGGAGGAGGCACATGCAAAGAAGTATTGTTTTAATACTTCTTTGCATGTTTGAACTGTTGAATAACTTTTTTAAAGCTGTCAAATGGCACCTGGGAGGTTCTCGGTAGATATCCGTCTTGTTGGTTGGTTCTTTGTCTCTGGGTTGGGATATTGCTTATTTTTTCCTCTCCAAGTGTTGAAAAAGCAAAAGGATAAATCTGTAAGGCCTTTGGTGGCCCAAATCTGACATTAAAGTCTGAGCTGGTCCTTGAGGTCAAGATTCTGTACTTCATGTGGGCCCCATCTGCTGTCTCCTGCCTGGTTAAGTGCCCGCAGACGTCTCCCCCTGCCATAAAACTGCTCGAGGTCCGAGTGGCCTCCTTTTCCTGCCAGTGACCCAGGCATTCCTGCATCTCTGTCCAGGCTCCCGTCCTTCGAATGGTGGAAGGCGACACCATCTATGATTACTGCTGGTATTCTCTGATGTCTTCAGCCCAGCCAGACACCTCCTAGTAAGTGATGTCTTTTGCCTGTCCCCTCCCCCCCATTTCAAGGGGACCCTCTATTGAGAGAGAGAATCAGGGGCTGCCAGGGGTCTTGGGAGGAGGAAAGCTTGGTGTGCCCTTCAGATGTGAGCTGAGAGGGCTGGTCAGTTGGCTTCCTCCCCTTCCTTTGACAGCACCAGGGCCTCAGTGTCCATGTCTCTCTCAGCGTGGCCAGCAGCAGCCGGGAGAACCCGATCCACATCTGGGATGCCTTCACTGGACAGCTCCGGGCTTCCTTTCGCTCCTACAATCACCTGGTAAGGGCCTGCCTGCCCAGCCCCGGGGCTCATCCTGGCCCAGCTCTCCTTCCTCAGGAATGGCTGAGGCTCTTTGCTAGGCCTGTTTTCAGCCCTTTCCTGCCCCCAGGATGAGCTGACGGCAGCCCACTCGCTCTGCTTCTCCCCCGACGGCTCCCAGCTCTTCTGTGGCTTCAACCGGGCAGTGCGTGTGTTTTCCACATCCCGGCCCGGCCGCGACTGCGAGGTCCGAGCCACGTTTGGTAAGTAGTCTGAGCCCCTGAGGGAGGAGAAAAGAAAAGGCCCTGCCATGTGCAATGTGCAAAGGGGCTTTGTGTGAGCCAGGGGGCTCACGTCATCCTCAGTACATCCCTGGGAGGCAGTCTGCCCAGTAGTCAGAGGAGAAAACAGACTCAGGGAGGGAAAGAAACTTTCCCAGGGTCAACTGTTGGGTTAAGAGCTGGTTCACTCCTGAGCCCATGCCCTGTTGGCTGTGTACCTTTTGGTCTCCAAAATCTTGGTGTCTCTGGGAAACTGGAGGTGAAGCTAATTCCATTTTCCTGTAAGCCTTCAGCTTTCCACCCCTTCAAGGAAAAACAGGTTTGAGAGGGACGAAGTGGGGCTTGGACCTTTAGGTGCTTGGTGGGGATAGAAGGATCTAGGGGACATCAAAGATTTTCATTCTGCTTAAAACAACAGACACTGAGTCCAGCACATGGGCTCTGGGACAGGAGATGGAGGTGCACTCTGATTAGCCTGGTTAACGCTGGGCGCTCTTGCCCTCTCTCCCACTTTGTTCCTTCCCTTTCTAGCAAAAAAGCAGGGCCAGAGTGGCATCATCTCCTGCATAGCCTTCAGTCCAGCCCAGCCTCTCTATGCCTGTGGCTCTTATGGCCGCTCCCTGGGTCTGTATGCCTGGGATGATGGCTCCCCTCTCGCCTTGCTAGGAGGGCACAAAGGGGGCATCACCCACCTCTGCTTTCACCCCGATGGCAACCGCTTCTTCTCAGGAGCCCGGAAGGTAGGGGTCATGTTCTGAGATCCCAATCAAGGGGGTAGCAGCCGGGAGTGGGGATGTAGTCTGTACTGTGTTGGGAGATGGGTGTGAGGGGAAAAAAAAATCAACCCAGCTAAAGGAGTGCCTGTCAACCTTGAGGGAAGCTGGGATGTCTTGGGCGTAGGGGATTGGAGGGTAGAAACGATTCTAAGCCCCTGTTCTTTGACCTCAGGATGCCGAGCTTCTGTGCTGGGATCTCCGGCAGCCTGGTCACCCACTGTGGTCCCTGAGTCGTGAAGTGACCACCAATCAGCGCATTTACTTTGATCTGGACCCGTGAGTGATCCTGGGTCCTTCCTGCCTGGGGCCTCGATGCCCCCAGGGATGCCAGAGCCCAACTGTAGGGTCCCAGCCTGTGGGTGTGAGGGGTCCCTGCCCCAGGGGTGATGACTCCATGCCAGCAAGCCTCTCCTCTCTTCCCAGGACCGGGCAGTTCCTGGTGAGCGGCAGCACTAGCGGGGCGGTCTCTGTGTGGGACATCAGCGGGGCTAGGCATGAGGGGAAGCCGGAGCCAGTGCTGAGTTTTCTGCCCCAGAAGGACTGCACCAATGGAGTGAGGTCTTCAGTTAATTCTACAGATTTGGGGGCTCGGGTTGGGGAGGGAGATAAACCCCTGAGGGAGCAAGCATCCTGGCTCAGGGTGCTGACAGGCACTATGCATCTCTCCCTCCAGCCTGCACCCGAGCCTGCCTCTGCTGGCCACTGCCTCCGGTCAGCGTGTGTTTCCAGAGCCCACAGAGAGTGGAGACGAGGGGGAGGAGGAGGTGGACCTTCCCCTGCTCTCCATGCGCCACGTCCACCTTGAATGTCAGCTTCAGCTCTGGTGGTGTGGGGGGGACCCAGACACCAGTATTTCTGATGCTCACCAGGGCGAGAAGGGACAGGGAGAGACAGACAGAGGTGTGGGCAAGTTTATATAAAAAGCTTTGATATGATCCTAACGTCTTTGTGCCTGCTTGGGGAGGCAAATGATGGACATGGGGCTGGGATGGGTACTGGTGGGCTCCCTGGTCCAGCTGCAGTGGGGACTGGCATATTATTCCTGAAACCAGGGTGGAGAGGTGGGACAAGGCAGGAGCCAATGGGGCCGCTGATCTTGGTGTGAAGTCAAGTGATTGGGGGTGGGGTTTCATGCCATTGACTGGGTGGTTGCTAGGCAACCTGGTAAACTGAAGGGGGGAACCTGTTTGGAATCTGACTCCTAAGGTGGGGGCGGCAGGGGTCAGGGTGAGTGTGGCTAAACAGGAGTGGCAGGAGCTGTGTGTCAGACTGTTGGGTGTGACTGTGTGAGACTGTGCAGACAGTGACAGACAAGACACCCGCTCACTCCTGCTCAACACTGTTTACCATCATCCAGCAGCAGAGGGACCATTACTCAGCTCTGGGGGAAGGGGAGCCAGAGGACCGCCTCCCCTCCCCTGGACTCCCCCAGTAGGCAGGTGACTGAGTAGCCTGAGTCAAGGGCACACATGAAAGAGTAAAGGTGCCGAAAAACACAGACGTCACATTCTGTATTCCCGTTAGATGCAGGACAAGGGCGAGAGTCTTTCATTCAGCAGCTGTCACTGGTCTCCTGTTTTCTCCATTTATCCGCTCTGTCTTTGGGGGGTGGGGGTATGTTATTTCTAGAAGTTGCTCCTCCCTCCCTCCACCCCCCACGCCTTGCTAAACACAGAAGGGGGTCTCTGAAGAGATAGTCAGTAGGGGATTTGATTCTGGACCTCACAATCAAAGGGAAGGGACAGGAGGCCTGTGACGACTTGAGAGGGGAGAGGAATGTCACCTCTGCCCAGAGGTGCTGAAAGCCAGAGTTCTTACACCCAAAAAGGCAAATCCTCCCTTCCCCCAGGATAATTGGAAACAGCCCTTCCGGCTGAATGCGGGTTTGGGGTTGTAGGTACTCCCTTTCCTCTCCCAGCCCAGTTTCTCCCCAAAACCCTCCAAGAAGGGCCCAACTTTACCCTCTGATCGCTTGCCTTTCACCAACCCCAGACAGCAGTAAAGGGTCCAGGAGGCTGTGACCAAACGGACCCCAGGAGTGGGAGTTCAGGATCCTGGGTATGGTTTCCAGCGTTATTCCAGATTCTCAGTGTGACCTTGGGCAAGTCACGGGGCCTCCCTGAGCCTCAGTTTCTTCGTCACTGAAATGGGGATCCTTGAGCTCTGCCCCTCCCACTTCACATAGGTAGTCGAGACGATCAACTCAGCCCACTCCGTAAAGTGCAGAGCCCTCAAGGTTATTATTATTCTCTCCAGACCTCTCGGGAGCAGCGGTGTTTTGGGATGGGGGAGGAGGAGGCTGCGGGAGCGAAAGGGGCTGGGTTCCTCGGGGTGGAGAGGGCGAGAGCCTGTCTGGATTTGAGAGGGAGGAAGATTCCAACCGCTCCGGCGATCTGAGGGCAGGAGGGGAGACGGGCAGAAACTAAGCCAGAGACGGAGAGTCTCAGAGACAAAGGGGGCGTGAGAGACTGCGCCGGGGAGCGAGGCGGGGCGGCAGGGTGAGGCGGCTCGTTGGGCAGGAGGTGCGCGAGGTGAGGGAGGTGTGGGGGGCGTGGGCTGCGGGATCCTGCCGCCCGCTCCGATCGGGCTCCAGCTCCGGTTTTTCCCTCCGCCATCCTCTCCCCCTCCCCGCCTCTCCTTTAACTCCCCCCTCCTGGGCTCGGGACTGGTTTCCTCCCTTAGCCCGCTGCCCTCAATCCCGGCTCGGCTGGGGCTCCGGCTCGGCGTCCCCTTCCCGGCTCCCTCGTCCGGCGCCCCATGCCGCCCCCG